CCAGCAGATTCCCTGGAATCGGGGAGTTTCTCTGGGATCCAATAGAAAAACAAATGGTCTCAAATTGAATTACTATTATTGCGACAAGAGATTTTCTTCTCTCCAGAAATAGCCTTACCTATGTCGAGAGACTGTCGTTTGGTATCTCTCTGCTGGTCCACATTACTAATTCAGCTAATTGTGGCAATTACACAAAGACATTGCTGCTAGCTAGGGAAGCTTTTATCCTGTTCCTGAACAGACTGCATTCCACAACGTTCATTAATTATGCCAGCCTATCGATTCACAACCACCAAATCATACACTCAACACCACACACCATATGCATTTAAAATCCTCTCAAAGCTGTAGGGCATTTCTGGGCTGGCTTGTACTCTTGTATTGTCCACCCTTTGCAATAGCCCGTTTCCTGCCCATCTGATTCTCAGAATAGAAACTAAAGTCAGAATAAAGTCAGGCTGCACCATGTGATGGTGTGGGTTAGGGATGAATCTCCTAGAACCACTTTGGGTCACTCAGCTTCACATTAAGACCCACACAAATTGTCCAGGTCCAAAGCCATTCCAAGCTACAGGGGAGAAAAATTCTGCATCCTACAGCATGCCCTCTTAGAGAAGTGAAACAGTAATAATGATGGAGGCAGGCCACTGTGATAAGTTGCCTATGCTTTTGTTCATTGGTTTCCTTATCTCTCTCTCCTCTCTCTTCCCCCTACCCCTTATTTTTTTTTTTTACATGAACAGCCAACATCAGATGACCTTGTATCATCTGCTGAATGTTCAAGCGATGATGAAGACTTTGTTGAATGTGAACCGAGTACAGGTAGGTTAGGTCAGTCTTGTTTTGCTTGCTTTATTTTTTCATTTGCAAAAAACAATACATACATATATGTGAATAGACGTGTGTTATATAGATATTATAGTGTGTTAATGTGTGTATTTCCCATATCTATATATGTATAAACATACATATATAAATATTAATGTGTAATCTAAAGCATCAAATCCCATGGAAGGAGTAACAAGGTCCCAGGGAAATTTAAAGTCAGTTCCTTGATAAAGAAAAATCCATGGTATTCAACCTAACTTTGAGCAATCCAACACCCAGATTGACCCTGGGAACAGCAAATGCATAGCAGCCAGTGGCAGCTATGAAATTGACAGGGTGGGGTAGAGGCATGAAGGCCTATAGTGGAATGACATCAAAAAATTATCAACCCAAAGTGGATCTGTAATGATCATTTAAACCTCATGAATTGTTCTGAGCCTAAGTGGCAAACAAAACAAAACCAAAAAAAACAGAAACATTTTCCATGGGATTTCAACAGCAGTTCACATGGTATTATATTTATACTAATTTTGTTCATTGGGTGTTTTAGAGAATTTGTGCAGCAATAGAGCAAACACAAAATTAGTACCAAGCAATGCCATGTCAATGCTGAGATGCTTCAAAATGTATTCGCTGTGCTGAAGTCCAGAGGACTTTGGCAATTAGGAGCTTCTGTGTGTTCCCCATTTGCACCCAAATACATTTTGATGTTGTATAGCCTTTAGAGTGAGCTTTATATGATATAATGTCCAGTAGGTAACTGTAGTCCCTGACTATTTCCTATCAACTTTCCCAAGTCATCTGTTTTGAGACTTGCTCTAAGTTAAACATTTATATATATATATATATAATAGAGAACAGATATCATCGAATTTCTGTGTATGTTTAAAAGAATTAAAAGCTGGAGTTGGGTTAGGATCTTATTTCTGAAAAAGCTAAGAGAAATAAATAGAATTTTCTAATTGATTCTTTGGGTTGCTTTAATTTTTCCCCTTTCCTTTTTTTTAAAAAAAAGGCAAGCCAGTAAACATTTTATTTTGCTAATTCTAGAGAAATTTAAGCTTCATGAAGAAATAATATAGCAGAAGTAAAAATATATCTGTTACCCAAAATGATTTACAAGTTTTCACATTTTGTGGAAGCCTGACTGCTGGTGACTTGCAAGTGGCTTTGGATCCAGGAAGTTCTGTGGGTGCCTGTTCTTAGCATGACTAGGGACATAACACTATGGGGGGCCTTTTCACTTTGAAGTGTGATCTGTTCCCTTTTGTGTGGGAGAAAAGTAACTGTGATCTGGTTAGTCAGATTTTTTTCAAATTATTGTGTAATTATCTCAATGTATAAAGTGAGATTTTAACTCTAAAGGGTATTAATGTAAGGGAAATAAGTCAGACAGAGAAAGAAATATACAATATGGTTTCACTTATCTGTGGAATCTAACACCAAACGAACCAAACAAACAAACAGATCAAAACAAACACAGACTCATAGAAACACAGACCAAGGAGATGGTTGGCAGAGGGGATGGGGCATGGATGAAAAAAGGTGAAGGGGAATATAGTCAGTAATATTGTGATAAATCTGAAGAATGATAGATGATTCCTAGAATTACAAAGGTGATCACATTGTAAGGTATAAAAATGTCAAATCAGTATATCGTACACCTGAAACTAATATAACTAATATAATATTGTATATCAACTATACTAAAATATAATAAAAAATGGCAGATACACTTAATCTATACCGGAACTTATACACCAAGTGCTTATTCATTAATTTATTCAGTCATTCATTTAATAAATATTTCTTAGCACTTAGGAAGGATACAATTCATCTCTAGATTTGAGTCCTTACTGTTCTAATAATTCTCATAAATGAACTGTTGGGGAAAAAGAGAACAAGGAGCTTTACCATCTAAATTACCTCTCCAACAAATACATTTTGTGTACATTAGTCATGTACTAGGTATTAGGGATTCACATATGAATATGGCAAGATCCCCATATTAACTGATTCATGATCAATAGTTACCTAATCACGTTTATTCTTTCTCTGGTTTTCTTGCTTTTATAGCAGTGATATTTATATACATATACATACACAAACATGTTTCTCAAATCCATAGATTTTAAGTCTTCATATAAAAACTGAGGCTTGATCATTTTGAGATATTACTGCCACCTTCGCCTTCTACCTCCCCCCACCCCACATAGTCATCTCCATATCAACCTCCCTAATAACACAGGGTCTTTTCCAGATCTCAGATTCACAACTTGTACAGCTCCCAGGTGTAATTATATGTTGCCATTTGATATTGAACATGAACAGCTCCAAACTTGAGTGGCAGCAAACTAAGTCCATTGGCCTTTTAGTGGTTGCACAGGTGTTTCTGCTGATTCAAAGGCAGAGGACAGAATTCAATGCCAGTAATTTCTTTAGTAATATAATTACATGGGGTGTGTGTGGGGGGGACTAAAGCAGTGTTTAAACAATCTGTTCTGTTCTGCAAGGGAGTAGGGGAAGGGTATATAAATAAGTCAGGTGACAGGATGCCAACCCTGAAGCAGCTAACATGCGCTCTAAGACACAGCTATTGATTTCCCTTGCCTGGGATCATTCAACTCATCACATTTGAAGGATGAGCATTTCTTCTTTCTAATTTTATTTACTCCATAAAGTACTCCTGGTAAGTGATTCAGAGACAGAGGGACATTTGTCAGAGGCATAGTCCTTAGGGGAAAGGGATAGATATTCCTATTGATGTGCAAGTTTTGCTCTGGGACCAGATAAACACTGATGAAGGTTACAGAGCATAGATCTATCAAGCACTTTTTGGTATTATATGGGAAATATTTCCATAGCCTTCACATTTTCAAGAAAATGGAGATTAAAATCTAGAAACAATTGAACAGTTGTTTCTGGGGCTAGTTTTTGCAGTACCTAGAGAGAAGGATTTCATTTGCTGCCCATGCAGCAACAGGTAATGGTGACAGTTACATAATTTTGACATAGTTAATCTTGAACTTCCATATGAATAATGAGATTACAATTCTGACTTTAAACAACCTAATTCACTACCTCACTTTTTAAAATGTTACTCTTTGCCATGCTCAATATTTGATGGAAATACACTAAATGTGGCTAATTACCTAGGCCTTGTTCAATTTTACTTAACATTACCTCGTCTTCTCTCATTGTACTAGCAAGTGTATGATTTTCTAGCTACCTCAGTTATAAGGCATTTAGCTTCTATAAGTTCTTTTCTGATTGAAATCCACTAGAAGTTCTTGCTCTTCATAAATTTGGGCAGTTTAGTATGTGCTAATTCAACAACTTTTACTTTCAGGTGGGCATCACATTTTAAATGAAATTAGTTTTCTTACTTAATTTTCCTTAAGTCAGAATTGGTCTTAAAGCTGCTGATTTTAAGTCAGAAGCAAGCAATTGCTTTTCATGTCTTTGGCACTCAAATTTGGTGTAGCTCAGTCATATGATGTTTAGAGACAATGTCAAAGTGTTTGGAGTTTGGTTGATGATAGTTTAGAAACCTTGAAAATCGAATGGATCTCAAATTTTCTCTGAAAAATATGTAAATGAGTTTTTAAAAAACAACACCCTCCTCAAGTTTAGGTTTAGGTCCTAAACCATGACAACAAGACACAGAGTGAAAGCTCAATTAGTATTTATTGATTGAATCTACATAACTCACAAAGTACCTCATAATCTTAAATTCAAATAGGAGATTTGTCATACATCTGACTTCATCTCCCCTTAATCAGCTAATTAAAACCTACTGAATTATTGAAAATATATGATTTTATATAAGTAAACATCACCCTAACAAACCCACATATGTTCAACAAAATGAATTCTCTACTTTCCCTATCCCCTTCTACTCCAGGGAACTAGCTCATTTATAATGAGTAAAAGGTAAGATCACAAATTCTTAATATTTTCTTAAAAAACCCAGAATTGAGCCTTTAAAGTATAAAACCATCTGCATCAAATTAAAATATTCAGAAGAATATTAGAATCACTATTTAACTACCTAAAGTTGAGGGTCAGGATTTTAACTTTCCTAATTTATAAAAGTTGAATATGTTTCACACAAAAGAAGTCAATGTCTACTTAATATTTTAGATTTGTGAAAGCTGCCCTTTCTTGGGGTCATGATGGGCAGCAAGATGGTATCTGCTAGCAGGGTAGTGCAGGTAGTCAAGCCACATACTCCATTAATAAGGTTCCCTAACAGAAGAGACAATCCTAAACCTAATGTATCAGAAGTTTTTAGATCAGCAGGACTACCATCTCACTCTTCTTTAATTTCTCAGCATTCTAAGGGAAGTAAATCGTCATATTGGCTGATACATCAGGGTCCAGCAGACACTTCAGAAATAATAAAAATATTACCTCAGAAATATAAAAGGAAACTTGTGTGTCAAGAAGAAGTTGAATATATACAACGTGGAGGTCCTGAATAATCACTGACACTGTGGCTGCTGTTTGTTATCAAGCAAAAGAATTGTCTTTACAGTAAAGGACTTCCAAAATGACTAATGAGAAATTATACATTAAACAACTTAAATAAATATTCTGTAAAAAAAAAAAAAAGAAATATAGAAAACTTAGATAGACACTTGTATTTCTTAATTTATGTATCTTGGTCAGCTTTTCCACAAGCTAACATAATTTTTACATACTTTATACTTATTAAAGTACACATTTTAAAAATATTTTAGATGCTGAAACCGGTTTGGCTCAGTGGATAGAGCGTCGGCCTGCGGACTGAAGGGTCCCAGGTTCGATTCCGGTCAAGGGCATGTACCTGGGTTGAGGGCATATCCCCAGTGGGAGATGTGCAGGAGGCAGCTGATCGATGTTTCTCTCTCATCGATGTTTCTAACTCTATCTCTCTCCCTTCCTCTCTGTAAAAAATCAATAAAAAATATATAAAAAAATATTTTAGATTTGTGACTTTGCATATGCATGTTTCCTTTCCAACTATACTCTATTGATATTAAATTGCACAGTAAGCTCATATTTTATTGTCCTTCTTACATATCCAGATTCAACAATAACAAAAATATAGAGCACTTGAGAGAATTCAAATAACCACTAGAAAAGAGAATTTTTTCATGAGACTATGGAAGCGAAATAACAATTAAGATATTCAGTAAGTTCACTTTTGTGATCTAAAACAATTCTGAAATAAAGAGAAATTGATGACATTGACTTTCTTTTTCTTCTCTCTCCCTCTCCTATGTTCCTATCCCCAGTGTTTCCATCTTTGGAAATTGAAATATATTCCTAGATTAGCTTTTTTATAATTAGAAAGTATCAACTTCCTAAATTTTATATATTTATGGCCTTAAACTCTAAAAGTCCTTGGTGTCAGGAGTCACAGAACAGCGGAAAAAATAAAAAGAAATCCCTTTAACACTTGAGAAATTGACATGGTAATAATTAACAACTATATTGATTCATCCAGCAATTATCCAGGGATATTTTTTTCCTGGCTGTCAGCTAACTAGGTTTTTCAAGGGACAGCACTTCCACCAGAGGGCAGACAGTAAAAGGAAGTAAAAATGAAACACATCCATCATCAAGAGTACTGTGCTAAACAACTTTTATAACGATTGGATTGATGGGAACGTTTAACTGATGGCAGTAATCTGAGATCACCAAATGATTACTATTTCCAGAGTGTTTCTCAGATGTATTTTTACTCCTCAACTCCAAAGTCCTTACATTTGCATTTGGTGTTATTGTTAGTTTCACTATAATACTCAACCCAATGTGGGTAAAATTTAAATTTAGCGGAACACCAATAGCATCCCCCAATTTGTATTCTCCAGGTGAAACTGGATTCTTAATCTTTATCAGATTGAGATACTCCAGTGAAGTATTTATAATATGAAAATTTGGCACTGAATTGCTTAAAAGTTTGCCAAATCATTCCTGGTTTTATTTGCTGGAACACTGTGGGAAGTGTAAAGACACTGCAATGTTAAGACAGTAATACTTTTCTAACACAGGATAAAAAAAAAATAGAGCCTTGTTCTCCAGAATCTTTGGTTAAAAAAAAGTAAATTGCTTTTTAAATATGATGTTTGTAATCTTGTGTGTTTTTCTATAAACACATAAGTGTCTCCAGCAAGCTTGAAGAGTTAGCAACTTGTATGTTTTTATTACAAAGAAAGGTTTATTTTATTTTTGTAATTTTAGCAAAAATTTTTCCAGGTGGAACTCATGATTGGTAATGAGAATCATGTTTAAATGTTATTAGTCAAGTGGCTATTAGTGAAGTGGCTGTTTGGTGTATAGTAGAATAGTAAATGCTAAATTAAATGTTATGTGGATGTTTGACTATCACAGTGTCCAGAACTTCACCTTGAAGAGCTCAGGGACACTTAAAAACACTTCCAATAAAGTAATCTGAGAAATGATTTAGCTTTGGAAAGCAGAATCTAAGTAGATGTAACATTTGTTAATGTAATTAAATCAGTATTGGCTGTAGACATTAGTCATTCTTATATTTGATTTATAATATATTTATAATACATCCAAAAGCAAACAGTTCCTCACATATAAGGTCTAGGCTAGATCCTACTAATTCTTTAATTTCCTTTGCTGATCTATAAATTAATAGAGTATGTTCATTGGCACATGATGTTCCAAATTTTAATGGTAGAGTTTCTGTTTTCACTCATTAACCTACTCAGTGATAAATTGTATCACTTCTTAATAACCCAACTCTACCCCAACCCAAACTAATTTTTAAACTATTGGAACAAACATGTGCCCTTTAAATCCCTAATGATAAATCTTTTTGAAAATTGGAGTAATAATAGAAATATAAGCATAAGAAAGTGTCCTAAGTAGTTGTTAGGCAATTATATAATTCATTGCTCAGGCTCATGGATTAACCATTATCATAGATTCCATAACAAAAATAACAAATCTAATAAAAATAATAAATGAAAAAATTATATATGCTTTCATTTGAAAGTTTAATAAATCACTTATTTATAGACTTATTTATAGAACATTTTTCATTACTACTATGAATTTATTGTCTTTAGGGAGGACAGAAAAGTAAGGGCAATAAAAGAAAAGAATGGATAGGAAGGGAAGAAACAGTGTGGACAATGACTGGAAATTCCTAGAACATTATCAAAACTCTAAAAAGAGGTCTTTAATTCAGCAAATAGCATACCCCATTCATAGACAAGCAATAACAATTACAGATGATGCCAGCCAGGGACAGAATTAAGTAACCCCAAACACCATTCTTCTGTATCTTAGGTTGGGGGCACAGAATTTCTGATTGATTACAGTGGAAGAATTAGAACAGTTCAGTCATAAAGTTTTCTTTGAATCCCATGTAACAGTATGGTCTAGGGCAGTGATGGTGAACCTATGACATGCGTGTCAGAGATGACACGCGAACTCATTTTTTTGTTTGATTTTTCTTTGTTAAATGGCATTTAAATATATAAAATAAATATCAAAAATATAAGTCTTTGTTTTACTATGGTTGCAAATATCAAAAAATTTCTATATGTGACATGGCGCCAGAGTTAAGTTAGGGTTTTTCAAAATGCTGACAGGCCAAGCTCAAAAGGTTCGCCATCACTGGTCTGGGGTCAGGGCTTCTTAGGTAATAGCTTAAGGATGGGCTTGTTGAATTTCAAACTAAACTTGTGAGAACTTCCTGATTTCAAATGCCAGTGCAAGTAGTTGATAAGGAATTAGCTTAATGAAATCATTAAGCAAATCCTCCCTAAAAAATGAATAAATAAAGAGGGATTGGGTTTTAAAAGAGAGGCATTTATGGGTTTTCTTGTATTCTTTATGTTCTATATTTTTTCTCCCCTAAGCCCAAGTATGTACTGTGTGTACCTATATGTATATATACACATATATTTATATGTGTGCATACTAAATTTATAGTGCCTCTCACTCTATATATATATATGTAGACTCAGTATAGATGAGATCCAACTAATGTAAAAACAGAGATTAACAATAGCCCCTGCCATCAGCCATGTGTTTTACACAGAAATTCATACCATCATTCTTACATCAGCCAACATAAACATGCATGATACTGTTTTAACTTGGTAAACAACGCATGTTAATTTTTCTTTAGGTTTTGCTTTCTTCTTTATCATAATTACAATGATGATTCCATACTTCAGTTATCCCTGAGAGGGGTGGAGAGAAAAATTATACAGATATATCTATCCACATATGCACATCCCTGCATATATGTATAAATAGATATATGCCTTGTATATATTTGAAAAACACTTTATGTTATTTCACCTCATCTTGTGCCGCATGAATTTTTGGTGGTTCAACTTATTTTATTTTGTTTTGATTCATATTTTGTATTTTGGTCATTATGGCTATTTTTAACTCATTGCTATCCTTTAAGATTAATTATAATCATTGTTTTTTAAATACTGAGAGATTTATAGATATACAAATCAAACAAGGCAACAAAATCTTTTCTTGCCATCCTAATTTCGAATGTTTCCCCTTCAGCATATCCCTCCAGTATTTATGCTTAAAACAAAATAAACTCCAACAAAATCTAAGAAAGTTGTGTACAAAAGAATGAAATAGTGTTTTCCTCTTCTTCCTCCAATGTATATTTTTCCCTTTAATTTCCTCCCTTTTTCCTTTTTGATTTTTCTCCATATCTGCACAGGCCACTTGCCTTTACTCTCCCCTTTATGACAATTAAGAGGACAAATAAGCCAGGAAATACAAAAAAAAAAAAAAAAAAAAAAAAAGGAAAGAAAGAAAGAAAAACATGCAGGAACAACAAACAAAGAAGCACATCCCTCTCCACAAATTTCAGATGGCATAAAAAGAATTTTATTGCAGATATAGAGTATTTGTTGTATCTTTTATTTCTGGACAAGCCCAGGATCATTGTGTGGCATGCAGTGACACTTTCATAGCTGATCAACTAACCATGGCCTCCATCACCAACGCATGGGCTTTAATGATGCCATCTTGTGTTTCATCCAGTGACACATCCAGGCTAACCCAGCAAGTCCAGTGTATGAGTTGTGGGGGTAACTTTCTTTTGTAGTTATAATTCCATGGGTTCTCATTTTTATTATTATTTGCATCGGGTCATAGTAGCCCCAAGAGCTGCTCTTGCAGCCTCTCTGTCTGGTTTTGTTCCTGTGTTTGCTTTTCCTTGCACAGCAGTCAAGCATGTGTGTCTCTTGTCTGGTCTTGCCATCCTGTCTTGGAGTCCACTGTCTTCGTATCGTCCTGTGATTCTGTTCTCTGTTTGTAACATGTGATTTTAAATCCTCTCCCTTGATTTCTCACTCCCTTATCGTTTCTACTTTTAACCTTACCCCTGGGGAACTTCACAAAAAAGCAAAACAAATGTTCAGTTGATTTTGAGGCTGATAACTGTGGTTTGCATCTGGAAGTCGTAAGTTGCACCTTTTAC